TATTTATTAAATATTCATGAATAACTTGACCCAGCCATGTCTCACTTGTGTGCAGATGCATTTATTGTACAAAGATTACATGGTGAAATTATCAATTTTGGAAGAATTTCAGTTATTTTTCAGGCATTGAGCACTTACTGTGTCACGGACTAAATAACTTCATTGATTGTAAGTGATACGTTCTTGCCCATTCGGAGGTGTTACTTTAACACAGGAACCGGAGAGTTACTCATTTTACAAGCAGAATTTGTTTCTTGGCCTTGATCTAACGCTGTATCCATGCATGTCAGGCTGCTGACCAACCAGATTTAGCTTTATTTTATAAATACGGCGTATAAAAACATTAGACACGCTTTCCTAATTTTGTTTTGCCCCTATTTTGCACTCACCAAAGCCGCTATTGTCAGCTCATGCTGTTGAGTGTCTTTTGGTTGGTGGACCATTCTAGATACAAGTGGGACGCTCTTGGGCCAGAAAAGCAAATGCGGTTCTCGATACACTCGGAACACTGCACCTGGGACCTACTGTCATGCCTTATTCAAGGGAACTTAAGTATATATTTCTTTTTCTCACCCACTCTTCCTTATATAATTGTCTCAATCCTTAAAAATGCTACTGTCTTCTGCCCCTCAGGGACACTTTAAGTGGATTTAATATGCGAATTTATTCAGGGATCTTAGATTCACCTGGTCATTCTGCTTCCGGGAAAGATCAGCTGTGCCTCATGTTTTTTATTCTTATTGTCTGGCCTTTTTCGTTTTACTGAAGAAGGCCGCGTGAGTATAAGCTGGCCTAGGGTTCTCGACGGACCAGCCCAGGGTTCTCGACGGACCAGAGAAAGCAGAGCTGAGTCTCACTGGCAGACGGGCAGAGCTCAGCGAGTGGAGCGGCAGTCCTGCCGAGTTCCTGAAAGCATGCCTGGAGCCACAGAGTGAATTAAAGAGCACGTTTACCCCCAGCCCACCCCCCCGGTCACACACGGTCATCCCGCTGGGGGGAGCGGAGATCGCTGTCGGAAATGCCCACCAGAGACCTGGATCCGGGAAGTGTGCCTGCAGAACGCTGCTTTAAGTGCTGTGGTTAGTGCTCTCAGCAGCCACGGCGAACCTTCAGCCTGATCTGACGGTTTTGCCTGGGGTGGGGAAGCCGGCGGCTACCAAGAGCAGAAACCAGGGACGTGTCTTCACATCGGCACAGGCGGCCTGGCTGCGTCTGCCCTCACTTTCACATGGACGGTGGACAGCGATAAATAGTTTGTAGGTTTCCTGTTTACGGTTTGACAACACCTGATACTAAGTCTCAGTGGAAATGAGTTGGGGCGGGGTATGTGGCTTAAAAAAGGCATGGGGGGGTGTATGTACCATCATAATCTATAAAGTGTTGCAGGATTATTCCTTTGCAGAACATGCTCTAGGTGAAATTTTTTGTCGAGCTTGTGCTTTTAACCAAATACATGGATTTATTAAAAAGAAAAAAAAAACACTTCAAAATAATGTCTTACAAATTAAATTAGTGGGAATATCAACCAGGAAAGGAAAAATTGTGTGGAAAATGGGTGGGGTCCGTCCCAGTATGTTAAACTCTATATGTGTAGCGGAGCACCTCGAACACACACGAGTTCACCAACACGAGGTCGAAGCAGGGCTGGTCATCATTAGGCAACACAGAAAGCCCATAGAGTACCGTCTTCTCCGGGGCGCTGACTGGGCAAGCCAGTGTCACCAGTGCTGGGTCACCATTAGGGGGCATAATGAGTTTCACATCACTGGGTAATCAAAGCTATAGCGCAGACGGCTAATCGTATCGTCTGCTGGGGCGTTTCTGCTGCTGGTGTCTTTTAAGGTTCAGGTTCATTTAGTGGTTGACTGTGCTGTTTATGAACAAACACGGCTCTCATCCTAGAGGAACTACATCCCTCTCAGCACCAGCGGGGCAGCTGTGGACCAGTGCCGGTTCTAGACCCTTTCAACTGGGGTGGGGGGGGGGTCAGACTGGGGCCAGTTGTTCTGCTGGGGGGGCAGATACATTTGACCTTAATGTCAAATGAGGAATTACTTGCACTCAAATGCCAGCATTAAGAAGCAAAAACAATTTTGAAAACCGATGTTATTTATGCAATGCTTTGCAGTCACAATTTGCAGTTTTTATAAAAATGTAACTAACGCTGATTTCCTGTTTAGACTGTCTTGCTTCCTCAAGCTTGATTATTTTTTCTGTCTTTAGCTTCACTTTTCACCAGCTGAAGCGACTCGACCACCCGGCACAAGAAAATGTGCTCACGTTTGTGTTTTCCCTGTTCCCAGCGCACAAAATATTAGCCCACATATTGTACATATACGTAAATAATAATAATAATATTGATCATAATAATCGTGGAGGTCATGGGGGTCTCAGAGGACCTGTCGTGGACAGAGCATGCCCAGACTCAGGGCTCATAACCACAGCAGAGACTGTACCACCTGAGGAAAGTCAAAGTCTCCCGGCAGCCCAGAAAACGCTATTGAGTGCATCTTGTCCACGAACACTACATCCCGGTGTGGTTCCTGTACCTGGACCGTGTAGCTCCGCACCTCCAGGCCTGCCCTCCCCTCTCTGAGAGGCGTCTACATTGGTCTCTGCAGAGATTATTAAGGACTCCACTCCATGCCAGTAACTGCCTGTGCATCTCGCTGAAATCAGGGAGATGCCGGTTCTGTCTGATGACCGGAACAGGGAGAGTCCAGAGGAGCCTCTTTCCTCAGGCCATCGGCTTGCTCAACTTGGACGTGCCTAAAGCCATTTGTACAGCTGATTGTCAGTCAGTTACTACATTCCATGTCCACTGCAAGTTGCACACCTTCACGACTATGCCATTTGCACTGTGCTGTCTCCTTTGCAGTATAAAATGCATATTTTCAATGCGTAGTCTTTATATACATCCTATATACATTCCTTATGTATATTAAAGAGCACGTTTACCCCCAGCCCACCCCCTGTACAGCATTGCCCCTCTTCTTATATTCCTTTATTGTATAAAATTTTATACTTGTTTAAATTCTTTTGAACAGTCTATTGAACAACCAGATTTCCATTTCGCTGCAAGTTGTACTTGTAAAACTGTACGTGATGAATAAAGATCTGGAATCTTGAATCTTGAAATGTGCCACTGATTTGCGAAAGTCATGGAGTTGCTATTGGCTCAGTGGGTTTGGAGACTGTGCCTGTGATTGGAAGGTCACAGGTTGGAATCTGAGTATCGTCAGCAGAGTGATCTCACCACTGGGCACTTGAGCAAGGCCCTTAACCCCCCCCAGCTGCCAAAGCCTTGTGTTCTCTGATGCCTAGATGGGCCTCAGCCCCCCACAACCCTGACCAAGATAAACAGATGGAAGGACAGATGAAATAACAGCATCTTTCATGTAACAGTTTTTTGTTCTTTATCTGCTATAGAAAATGGCATATTGTAAAATACTGGCTGTGATTTGGAGAGTCTCCTGCACTAGAGGCTATTAGACATTGTTAAAACCAGTCTGAACGAGAGCAGTCAACATGAGCCGGCTGTCCCGGTTGCCCGTCCTGGCAAGCTCACACTGTCATAAAGATCACATGACACTCCAGCAAATGGCCTGCAATCTACCAGTCAGACTGTTTCAGCTTTTTACTATTTCCCAAAACAGAGGCAAGACAATATTGCTTTGATCCAGTTATTCGGTCAGAGAGTGACACTTTCACAGTGCTGTAAACCTTTTAAAATTCATGTTCAAAAACGGATGCGCGGAGCTGCATTTCTGTTGAGGCCGTATCGTTGGTTTCCAAGTTCGCATGTTGTTTTAGGCACTAGCAGTACAGAATGTGCAAATGGAAACGTAGGCCTCTGGTATATTTGGCTGTATGGTGCTTATTGGCTTATTGGTAAATGTATCAGGGGTCACCAATATCTCAATATCTGTGTGATCCTGGATTATATCATTATATCAGTCTGTGTATGTGAGTGAGGTATAGGGCCAGTCCTTGTCCTTGTAGGGCCAGTCGTGTGATCGCATGGGTTCATGTCAGTTTTCTTACAATGGTTGCTTGTCTCCGCTGGATATTTATGAGAGTGTGTCACCCCATTACTGAGCTCGCACCCGAGCTGGCTTTGTGGCACCCTAATCTCATGTGCTGCAAATCGTTTTATTATTTTTTCCAGTCCTCGCCAAAAAGGCATGTTTTCGTTTGACTTGGGGGATTGTTTCGTGCCCCCCCGCGCCTCCCCATTTTGACCGTGTGGCTCACCCCTGCTTTCTATCTTCACTTTGGAAAAAGAAAACGCCAAAAATAAAAGTCGGACCCCCTCTCTTCGGAGATGCCCGTAGTCGGCCGGCTTTCCCACAATATCCTTTTCAGAGTTAGCTGGTCGGGTTGCCACTGTAGCCCTGTGCTGGTCCAGTGCTTGTGGAGGCTAGGTGTCCGTGAATTCATTTTAATAATAAGTTCGTAACGGGCGACCAAAAAATAAAATAAAATAAAACAGAAGTAATCCTTAAAAAAATAGGATGGCTGATTCTTTCTGCTCTCTCACCCCTTCACTTGCTTTTTCCTCCCTAAAGGACTGATATTGGTCTTGTGTGGACTTTTACTCCCTTACTGACATCATGGCCAGAACTCTTGTTTTTTCACTCAGCCGGTATCTGTGTCCTTCTTTCCGTCGGGATGCCGTGCGGCATTTTCACGTGGCGTGAGCAATGTGTGCCTTTCAGCGGGGACATACATGCGTGCTGTGTCTCCATTTAATTTCCCCCCATTATGACAGATGAACTGGGGGCTCTGTGACCTCGTCTTCATACATGAACGGAGTTTTGTTTCCTTTTCGGCACAGAGAGGGAGATACTGGGGGCCTGAGTATCAAGGCTCGGAGCAGCTGCCTCTTCTGACTGCCTCTTTATGTTACCTCTCCTCCCTACCGCTCCCCCTCTCCCTTCTCTCTCTTCTTCTTCCTCTTCTGATCCCCTTCCCCCCACCCTTCCCCCCCTATTGCACAGTGGGTCTGTCTGACTTGAAGTCCCCTGTCTGGTGACGCTGGGCCTCACGCCACACCCTGCCTTTGACTAAGGGGGCCTCTGTCCGCCTCTATCACTCAGCACACAGGGCCTCCAGAACATCGGCTCTCCAGACCTCAGCTCCTCACCTGGGCGGCAGCCGAGCCCCACGCTGAGCTTCAGTCCCAGGGAGCTGCAGAGATAAATGATCCAGGAAGGTGAGAACTTTCAGGGCTCCGGATCTCTCCGCCGGCCTCCAACTCAGCTCTCAGTATGATGTCAGAGAAAATCTGCTTCTGGGCGACCAGGTCATGCGTGGAAAAATAATCTGGTGCGTGTTTGTCTCTTCCCTTACGTTAAAATTAGGGCATATTTGTAGCCTGATAAGGTGGAAATAGGCTTTTAATTTATTTCAGCTCTTATTAAATGGAAGGTGATGCAATATCTGGGGTTTGTACCTTTCTGCATGTTACACCACCATGGCACCAGAGGATATTAAATTTATTTTTAATAATGCGCTCTTCCTGACGTAGTTGCCTGCCCCAAAGTGCTTCTGGATGGTTTAGCGACATCTGATTTGTGCCAGTTTGAGAGCGCGTGGGAAAGCACTGGTTCCTGGTGGTTTCTGCCCTACTGCAGTGTCAGCTGTTTTATGGTTTTTAAAATCGCTTCCTCAGTTGGTGGACTTATCATGGCAACCATGGATCGTCTTATATTTCCCATCGAAATAATAAATAGAAAGATATACTGATGCAGGACCATCAGAAAACCAAACGTATAGTCTTTCATGTTTGCAGTAATATAAAGCGATTGTGGCTTTAGGTGTCTATCGAGGTGCCTGATCTAGAAATTATGCTGCCAGTTTGATCGCTTTTGATAATTTTTCATTTTGTGGGCACCGTGGTGGGTTGGCATCACAGCCATCCTGTCTCCTGCTTTGTGCCCTGCACGTCCTGGCAGAGGCGCCAACCTCGTTGTGCCCCTCCGCTGCATCGGTGGATGCGGATCATGCATGACAGAGGGACGGGTGGATTTTTCGTGGGGGTTTATTTTGTTGTGTTTGCGAGTCGCTAGCCAGCGGCAGGCCGGTTTCACGCGACGTTAGTGCTTTTCTGCTCACTTCTAGCTGTTAAACAAATGGGGTCTTTTAACTCTGATCTGTAACCAACAGTCTGGTTTACACAGCCGCAGTCTGACCTGGATGCGGGTGGCTGATAAATTAGCTTGTACATGGGTCGTTATGCACATTGGCCCTCTGGGCAGGTTGTTATGCATGTCACCCCTCTGTTGTTATGCTCACTGGCCATTTGGGTTGTGTTGCAGTTTCCATGCCCCCCCCAAAACCCACTGGCCAGCACATTTCCAGTGGCTGCAGCGTGTCGGATCCGGGCCGGGAAGTTAATGGGGCTAACGAATGACCAGTAAAGGGGACATCCACCCCGAAAAACACAATGGCTCACACGTGCGTCCACATCAATACAGACACTCTTCTGTGATACGGTCTGTGCGAGTTGCCTGCCTGGCGTCCCTCCTGGGGGGGAGGGCAGATGGCAGCTTCGGCACACAGAGGCTTGAGTGTGAGTCCTGCCCACGGGTGGGGCCATCTGCTGTGGCTCCTTCCCCCAGTGCTCATGCTCAGCCCCCCCCCGCCTCCCAGTGCCCCGGTGCTCGGGCCGCGTCAGAACCTCTCTACGCGGGCGTGTTGCGTTGGTCCGTTCTGGTCCTGCTGTGCAGCGCTGCATGGCTGAAATGTGCTCCTGTTAAATTTGTTGAGGAACTTCCCTGGTTCTCACAGTAGAATATTCAGAGTACAATAGTGATACTTTTTTGATTCCCATCTTGCTCTCCTTGAGACACATAGACACGCATACAGGTGAGTACAAGCTTAGGGGGGGTCAGAGCGCAGGATCAGCCAGCATGCAGCATCCCTGCAGCAGCTGACGTTAAGGGCCTTGCTCACCCGCACAACTGCAGCATCACTCTGTTGGCCACGGGATTCAAACCAACAACCTTCTGATCACAGGCATGGAGACAAAACACCATCAAGACAATATGAGAACTGTACATGCGAACACAGTAATAATTCTTATTCTTCTGTTTTTGTTTTATTTATGTGATGCTGTAATTTATGGTTCATGGTTTTCATACTGGAGTCCTCTGGGATTTGTCATGTGTGTGATGGCTGATCCCGCTGATTTCCCAGTGAAATCCTCCCTTACACCCCTTAATGTGTGACCCTGATTTGCCGAGTCGCTTTAGTTCCCTGACATTTATGGTAAATGGCCATTATTAGGTGAAGATTACTTGGAATTTGGACCAGGTGTTAAAACCAAAGTCTCGATGTGACATGATGTGATGAACTGTATATCCAAATCCAGGAGCTGGGAATTCTTTGTTGCCTAAACTGTGCTGCACTAAAACCCCAATTACTGCTTTTCACATGCACTGTTAATAATAAACCGCTAATTGTTTTCTTCATACCTCTGGCTCACTACTGTGACCGTAGCTGTGGTAGCTTCCAGTTGCCGTCACTTTCTCCTGCCATAGCAGGCTAAATTCAGCAAACAAAGGCATTACATTGTATTGCCTCACATAATGGATCTTCACGTATGTTAGATACCAGAAAACACTTATTGGCTTCACTTATGCGAAAAATTTTTTTCTTTTTTTTCTAGTGTTCATGCTGGAAGCACTATAAAATTATGGCATTTTACAGATAATTCAGTGGGAGGTAAAACAAATACACAAATAAATTTTAAAAAAATGGAGGGTAGGCTCTTAAAAATGCTTTTTAAAGAAGTTCAACTCAATTTGATCGGAGCGTGGCTAAGTACATGCTCTAACCCACAATGCACTGTAACAGCCGGAACAGCGCCATGTCTCTGTTGTGGTCAGAAAAGGAATTGCATCTCTATTGCGAGCCACTGGAGCGCAATCGTGCATATTTGCTGCAGCGAAATTTTGCACGGTTTTGATTTCAGTGAGACAGGAGCCAGCAGAAAAAAGATCCAAATGAAATCTGAATCACGTTCTTTCACTATAAAACATTGATAAAGCAATCTCTAAATTGTACTACAAGCATATGTTAAACCATTGATCACTGAGCTGTGAGGAGTGTAGTATAAACAAACTGGATGGTATTGAATGAACATGTGAAGGTACATTATATTAATCTGAAGACATTTTTTTCTTGACAGTGATCAGATTTATATGCAGCAATTCCAAGGTGACGTGCCTAGGAGTTTGTTATTATCTCTCATGCCTGTTCTGGGGTCAAATTGACCCCAAAGGCACATATCAGATAAGATCTTTATTGTCACTATTACAGAAACAGTGAAAAACAGTTTAGCTGCTCTCTGTTTAGCAGAATAAGTTAAAGAAATAAGAACAACACACAAACAGAGACAGCCATCCTATTACAATATGAGTGTCTGAGTACAATGTGTACAATATGTCAGTCGAGGCAGAGTGTGCTTGATGACCTGCCCTAAGCATAGAGTCTCATAATAACATAATTATTGTAGGAGCGTTTCAGTGACGATAGTCCTTCACAGAGCCTGTGTTTGTGTGGGCTTGCTTGCCTGTTTTTGTGGGTGTGTATGCGTTTGTTTCTCTGCCTGCGACGGGTCGCTGTCGTTTTGATCATCGATTAAGCAGCTGTTCGTGAATCTTAACTTTGCAGTGCTGTGTCCATCTTGGCGCCAGACAGCTGACATGCGGGTTCTGTTTGTGAAAGCCACCTGTGATGTTGTTCTGCCCCTTTGCATTGGCTCAGGGGAGTGCCGTCTATGTTGGAACACTAACGGTGTCGCATGGTGCTCAGGACGGATGATTCATGGAAAAAGGCATTGCCCATTATCGTGTATCCTACCATCAGTTTTCCAAAACTGCTTATCCAAGGCAGGGCTGTGCTTGGAGCCTATCCCAGAACAGGGCATGAGGCAGGGGACACCCTGGATGGGACGCCAGTGCATCACAAGACACACATGCTCAAACACTATACACAATCTGGAACTGGGGTGGGGAGCCTGATCCATGTAGAGCCATTGTGGGTGCGAGTTTTTGGGATAACCTTTCAATCGGCCAATAATAAAGCAGTGCTTCTTAACTCCAGTGCTGGGAACCTACAGTTATTGGCTGATTGAGAGGTCATCCCAGAATCCCGCACCCACACCGGCCCTCCAGGGATCAAGCTCTCCACCCTTGATCCAGAGACACAAATGCATGTAAGCGCATGTTTTTGAACTGCCGGAGGGAACCAGAGTCACACAAACAGAGAGAACATGCAATCTGCACATGCGGGAGTGGGACTGAGATCCACAGCTGTGGAGGTGGAAGATTGCTGTGTTTTCCCCTCACTGAGTCACCGTGCTGTCCGTGTATTAAACCTGCTTTGTGTGAATAAGTAGGTATGGGCGTACACACAAAATAATTGCAAGGCATTTGTCGAATACCACAGGCTGCACTAAATGTCATGGGATAGTGTTTTGGCAGGGACTCGTGCAGCATTTGGAAAGGAGGAGGACAGCTGAATATCAAATATATTTTACATTTCCATGTACGATCACAGGAACCATCCACAGTGTCCCCAAGATGGCAGAGAGAAAAAAAGGGTGGTGGGGGGGTCGTCTTCTGTTGCCCTCTGGAGTAGAGGATACCATGAAGAGTTAGAAAGCAGATGGTTCAGGATTCGATTTCCAGCAAGGGCATAACATTCGGGTGCCAAGGACTCGAGGGTCTAACTGCAGACCTTCTGCAAATAAGACCCAGTTGTTTGGAAAGAGCCATGCATTGAAATATGGAGGAGATCATTTATGTATGCAAACATATTTCACTGCCCATGTACTTTTAGACATGCCCTGACCTTGACTTGATCTAAGCAAGCTGCAGTGATCCATTTTAATTTAAACACCGCCCCCCAATCCCCCAGTTTTCTCATTGCCAATTCTATTTAATGCTCGGCTGTCTCTGACTCTGCTCTGTGCCTGGCAGGAAGCGGAGAAAGCTGCAGTGCTCTCCTCTGGTTGACACCCTTGCCAGCCCAAGGCCATTTTCACACTGTGGGTCACCCAACCCCCAGAACAATGGCTGCATTGCAGTCACTTTGATGGTCTCTAGGGGGCGCCTATGTGACATTGACTCACCCCTGTGGATGAATGCTTTCTCTTGCACTTGATCACTGCTGAACTCTGAGTGACAACAGCTAATTGTGTCGCTG